CGTTTGGTCGACCGTCGTCGGGTGTTGAGCTTCGCACCAATGACCATCTTGATCAGGGCACATCATTGGTTGGGGATTTCCAGTCGACTCTGCGCGACCTCCACCCCTAAAAGTGGCTCGGTACGACCTCCCTCTCCCCTCGTTCCCTCCTTTGCTCAAGCAAGGGGGAGGGGAAGGGGGAAGGGATATATAGTACATATGAAACAGGAAAAACCCCGAGAAATCAACAACCTCACTCAGAAGGCCAGAAGACCTCCCTCTCCCAGATACGTCTCGCCCATAGCGTCTCTGAAACAAGAAAAATCAACTATCAAAAAATTTCTCAGACCAAATACGACCCCCCCCTCCCTCAGCGAGCCAAATACGACCCTCCTGTTGGGGAATCCCCAGCGATGATGTGCCTTGCCACTAGGCCATCGCCGCTTGCTGCAATTAACTATCCTTCTCAACTTGTACAACAGAGCAAAGGTTAAATGGTCCGTAACTCTCTTCAGAGAATCGTTCCGCAAAAAAGGAGGGCAGATTTGAATTCAGCGGCTCAAGGCACGCCCATGTATGTACATCTCATTGCAAATGGCCGGATCGACCTGTTGGGGTTCCCTTGTCAGTGAGCAAGTATTTTGTTCACAGCATTGAGCTGGGGAAAAAAAGAGCGGTCGTGGTGTCGTAACGGATAGCGGGCTCTGCTGGAAAGCAGGCGGTGTGAGTTCGAGTCTTGCCTGCAGTCAAGATTTTTGCCGTAACTCAGCATTCTTGCAATAACTTTGTAGAGCGTCGTAGAAGAAGTCTCACTCAAGGAGCGGTGATCATTCTGGTCGGGCTAATTTTCCGTGACGTCTGGTCGATGGCCGGCATCATCCAATCTCGTGACAAGCCCGGCTAGATGATCTTCTAGACAGCAGTCACACTGGTTTTCTACCAAGTAGACAACTTGCATTCTCCGAGAACTGTCCTACTCTCGCGTTTTTCGCTCAAAACATACAGTTTTGCTAGCTGCGGATGCTGGGACATGCCAGAGAAGGCGGGTTTAACCCAGCGCCAGTCTGTTTTCTACCAGTTGTTGCCGCTTGTCCGCTTCAACAATTGGAAGAGAATGAACAAACGTTCTCCCCCCCCCTCTCTCCCTCTGACACGCTTCAGCGAGTGCAGCGAGCAAGACTCTTCAGCACGTGTGGCGACATAAGATCCCGTTTCGCGCTGACTTTCAATAGTTGAAGCCCTTTAGCCCTGCTTAGCGCGGACCATAACTGACGATTGCTTGCATGCAAGTTTCTCGTTCCGAAGTTGTAAGGTTTTGGCGTCAATGGCAGACTGTACGACACCCGCAAAGTGGGCTATGGTCTCTAGCTGCGGTATCGTACCACTGCCTCCGCTCAAAAAACACGGAAACTGTCTGGGGGAGATGACGCCAGGTTGCCATCACCCGACTTCATTTTCAAGGCGCAGCACTTACCTTAACACCAAAATCCTGCAGGGATTACACAGTCACATTTGAAGAGCCATAAGGGGGCGCGGGAAAGTAGCGCGTTTGGCTTTAGTTAGGCATTTCGGCCGTGTGGCGGCGCGGGCGGAGTCCAGAGATGGCGGCCTGGTATTAGGTTGTCCGGAAAGTTCTCAGCGTTTTGTGCACCTATTTTTTGTACATTCACTGCTGATTAAAAACTCATTCTGCCTTGCTTCTCAGTAGCACATCCTGTAGAGAATTTCTTGCGCTATCTGATGGTATAATTGCCGTTTCACCATTGCTTGATAAACCCCTTTTTCAAGATTTTTTCAAGCATGTGAAAAGAGCACTTCGGACGATTTTTTTCTTCGACTATAAATTGGGGCAATCCGCAATCGAAACAGCTCAACAAATTAACCAGGTGTGGGGGCCCAATAGTGCTAGAGAAAGCACTGTGCGGCAATGGCTCAACAAATTTCGTTCTGGAGATTTCAGCCTTGAAGATGAACCTCATAGCGGTCGACCTAAAGCAATATCTGACGAGGATTTC